AGGGTGCAGGAAGGTTCACGCGCGACCCGATTAATCCTCGTGGTCAGTCCATTTTTGTAACGAGCTGTTCCTTTGAATAAAGGAGATGACAGCAGACCACCGACTTGCGCGTCTTTCGTCCCTCGATTCATCCCTTAAACTGGGTCAAAGCAACAACGGAGCGGACCAGAGCGAGTGCTCTCCGTTGTTGTTCTCGGGTAAATTAATTAACCCCCGAAGGCTACGTGTATATATAGCGAGGAGCAAAATTGAGCAGGCGAGAAAAGTTGATGAAAGAGGCACCGAGTAAGGATAAGATTATTCGAAACAACATTGCCAATTGCTCCCCCGTTAGAGTAACAATCGTAAAGGATTTTTCAATTTTATATTATTAAAATATGTTATGGTAAAATTCAATAGAGAAGCAAACTCTACATTCCAGCGGTGTGGGGGCGATCCCTTCCCCCAATGTTCTGTCTTTTGTCACTAGTCTCCTGAAGACGAGTTTTGACCTGCGAGGCCCTGAAGAGTTCAGTTCTGACCATTCGTCAGGTGAATAAAGATATACACAGTTTCTCCAGTTTACTATTCCTTGCATATAATAACCCCTTTAACAAAATATATGCCGTTTCAGCTGTGATAATAAAAATACCATGGTTACGATTTCATTCTATTATAAGGTTGGTCTGATCTGAGAGAAACTTTAGGAATTTAAACGATATTTTTTGGGAATTGTAATTCGAGTTTGTTAAAGAATTATAATGCAAAGAAATAGTAGTAACAGTGGAAACGATGGGAAAACTGTATAGATGTTGATTAAACAGGCGAATGGTTAGAACTGACCTGTCTGTTTAGGTCCACGCAGGTGAAAAGACGTCTCCAGAAAACTGGAGACAAAAGACAAAACGCAGAGGAGGGGATCGCCCCCATATCCCTAGGATGTAGTTTATTTTGTTATTAGGTGAAGTAAAAAGAAATCCATTATTTTTGCATTCAATTTTATGGATTTCATGCAATTTCATGCAAAAATAATGTATTTCTTTTTACTACACTTAATATAATGAAAGACGAACTAAGTTATCAATGTTGGTCACCACTTGAATATTCCAGTATTTCTTTTTAATTCGCCTAATATTTAGATTTTACTAAAACAGAGTTTAACCCATTAACAATTTATCCCGTGACAGTCACGGGCAGAGCGTCAAGTACTATACATCGACTAATTACTAACAGGATACATATAAAACATTCTCCTTTTACATTTTTTATTACATTTTGAAGTGTCTTCGAACATAAAAATACTGGACAATTTTTGGGCCTAAATTCGTAATTTTATCATTATTATTATGAAAGGGTTGAGGAATGGAGTCCTGTTTCGAAGATCGATTCCTAAAATACGAAGAAGAAATTTCGCAACTTCAATGTGGTATATCTTACTTTACCAGAAACATTATAGCAGCTATAAATCAAATTTAATTTTACAGTAGATTAGAGATATACCATGTTGATAAAAATACAGGGAAAAGATCGCTATCTTTGGAGTAGCTACGTAAACAAATGTACCGCGATCGAGAAATTTTTGCAACCGTATTATCGCTCGATTTTTAAACAGTTTTTAATTCTCGTTCACATAATTGCGTTACTAGGTGCATCGAGTTGGTCCAAAGAATTACCGCGAAATTGCAGAGGCAGGATTTCGTCGCGTGCTGCACGATTCATTTCATCCCCGTGGATCGGCGCGACATTGGTCCGCTATTAACTATCGATTCATCGTTTCACAATGTTAGATAATATTACGGTGATCGACGAAACCGCTGAAAACCGCGCGGATTTTTTCAGCCGACGAAAGGGAACCGGTTTCGCCGGTTCCACAATGTCGCGCGATTCAGCTCGTAATGGTAATCCATCATCGAGAGTAACCCGTTCCACATACGTTCCTCTCCTCTTCGGTATGTTAATATGATTCATAAGTGGTCTAAATAGGATGTCGCAAAGTGGGGTCAAACACGACGACCCCTAAGTGGCCGGCTCTTTCTCCCGATGCACTCTGGGTCATGCGCGATCGAGGAACGATCGAACGTGTCTGGCAGAGGTCTGCGGATCGCGTTTAATTATTCCGCATCTCTCGAGATCTCTCAAGCGTTCTCGCGAGAAGTCAAACAAGAAGGAAGCTTGCGAATCGCTAGACGAATATATTTGGCAGAGGTAACTCGCGACGTTTAGCACCCAAGCATCGAAGAATCCTCGAGAAGATGGAGTCTTTGCGGAGTCTGTGTGATCGGAGAACGATCGAACGTGTTTGGCAGAGATCTGCTGATCGCGTTTAATTATTCCGCATCTCTCGAGATCTCTCAAGCGTTCTCGCGAGGAGTGAAACAAGAAGGAAGCCTGCGAATCGCTAGACGAATATATTTGGCAGAGGTAACTCGCGACGTTTAGCACCCAAGCATCGAAGAATCCTCGAGAAGATGGAGTCTTTGTGGAGTCTGTGTGATCGGAGAACGATCGAACGTGTTTGGCAGAGATCTGCGGATCGCGTTTAATTTTATGGCGTCTGTGCGACCGGGGAACGATCAGACGAGTTTGGCAGAGATTTGTGGATCGCGTTTAATTAGTCCGCATTTCTCAAGATCTCTCAACCGTTCTCGCGAGTTAAATACGAAGGAAACTAGCGAATCGCTAGACGAAAATATTTGACAGAGATAATTCGCAAAGTTTGGCACTTAAGCGTCGAAGATTCTTAGAGAAGATGGAGTCTTTATGGAGTCTGTACGATCGAGGAACGATCAAATATGTTTGACAGGGGTCTGCGAATCGCGTTTAATTTTATGGAGTCTGCGCGATCGGGAAACGATCGAACGAGTTTGGCAGAGGTCTGCTGATCGCGCTTAATTAGTCCGCATTTCTCGAGATCTCTCATGCGTTCTCGCGATAAGTGAAACAAGAAGGAAGCCTACGAATCGCTAGATGAAAGTATTTGGTGAAGTTAATTCGAGAAGTTTAGCACCCAAGCGTCGAAGAGTGGTTTGACAGAGATCTGCTGATCGCGCTTAATTATTCAGCATCTCTCAAGATCTCTCGAGCGTTCTCGCGAGGAGTTAACACGTTAAACGCCAGGCTGGTCCCTAGGGACCAGCGCTAGACTTTTCGTTCAGGCCTCGCCGGTCCGTAGGGCCCGGAAGGGCCCGCATGACAGCTAACTATGACGTGAACAGAATGACACGTAAAACCGGCGTGGCATTTAACGTGTTAAACAAGGAGGAAGCTAGACGAAAATGTTTGACAAGAATAATTTGCAGAGTTTAGCACCCAAACATCGAAGAGTCCTCGAGAAGATGGAGTCTTCGTAGAGTCTTTAGTCTCTGGCGTGGCATTTAACGTGTTAAACAAGGAGGAAGCTAGACGAAAATGTTTGACAAGAATAATTTACAGAGTTTAGCACCCAAACATCGAAGAGTCCTCGAGAAGATGGAGTCTTCGTAGAGTCTAGTCTTTCTTGCACGCGAAATTTTTGAATGGTTTCTAGGTTTACGTAGATTCTGTCAGTGCTGCGTTATCAAGCCAGGCTTTTCATAGTTCATTCCACGCTTATCGCAATTTTCTACCGTTCTATCTGCACTCGTATCAGCGGCGTACCGCGAAAAGTGCTACTAAATCGTTAGTACTCGATAAGAGAGTATTGCGTCGATTAAAATTCGGCGTCAGGAAACAGAAAATAAAGGCGCTCTCTTGTGGAGCAAGAGAAAGGAGAAACACATTCGCCTCGGGTAATTAAAACGACGCATCGCGAGCGAAATACCGTAATCATTCGCCGCTTATGCAACAGGATGCAAGCAGCCTTTTGTGTGCAATTAACTGCATCGCGGCTGTGCGTTACAACTATTTAATAATGTATCGAACATGATCGAGCGGTAGCCCACGGGAAACGAACGCACCAAGAATTGAATTACAAAGTGGCCTGCGTACAACGACCACTTAACTTTCATCGAGGCGTTGTCGAGTGATTAGCGAAATATCGCGATGATTACGAGGATCGCGACGCAGAGGAGTCGCACGATAGCAACCTCGGTACCCGCTTTCTCGTGTTCCCGTGATTCCCATGGAAAACGTGAAACACGAATAGTCGAACTATACCTGGTATCTGGGAAACGATCGAGTACCAGCTCCACGATCATTGGAGAATTGCAGAGAAATGACAGGGGAAAAAATAAAAAGAAAATATCGTCGAGACTTACAATCGGAGTTGACTTATCTCGCTATCGTTTCCGTATAAATAACGAGAAAGTTCTTCCTTCCTCTGCGAAGCTTTCCACCGACGACGGTTCTCTGCTTAAAGATGCATCGATCGTGTCCGAGCAGTCACGTTCTTTTTGCTGGTCACGTCACGAACATCGGGGGAAAATCGTGACGGAGTGGTTCGAGGAAACGGCGGAAAGAAAGAGACCGTACCGATGAACTTTTCGCGTGTCAGCGAGCAGACTAGAAGGAAAACGCCGATTAGACAAGCGAGCATTATCGTCTTCCTTTCTTTTTCAAGATCGCTGCTCTACTTGCTATTCCCCTTATCTAATCGGCAGGTCGCTATCGCGGCTAGTACCCGGTTGTTGCCGATTCGGCATCGAGCGCTTCCCATCGAAAATAAAACCTTCCCGTTATCTGCGAATCGCGAATGATGTCACGCGGCCATCGGGCGGTTACGTGTGTTTTCGCGATTCGTTACAGTTATCGTCCACGGTGGGTGATCAATTAACGTGCCGCGCGGAAATTCAAGGTCCCTCGTGGACTCTCGAAACGGGATCATAAGGCCAGAATGAAGTCATCGCTGTGCAAGTTCCCTCCAGGGTAAATATTTTTGGAAAAATTTCGCGATAGGTTCCAGAAATTTGACAGAGGACGCATCGGGTTAGCTAGATGCTGTCAAATCGGTATCGAGACTACCTATTCTACCTTCGTTTCATCGCCTGGAATATCTTTCTTCACCACACTCTCCGATTGTTTTACACGTGCAAAAGTCTCCTTACCCTTCTTCAGCTGTTTCTGCTTGAGTTCCTGGTCCCTCTTGACCCCGTTACTTTCACTCGCAATAAAATTCTCGCTCGTCTTCGACTTCATTATACCGGTCGATCGCGACGATTACGTAACACTCGCAGTAACGCCGCAAGGCGGACTACACCTCTCTTCCTTTCTCCTCTCTCGCTGTCTCCTGTCGGCGATAAGATAGTCGCCGATGTATCGCGACTAGATACGATCTTCTCGCGGAAAAGGAAGACGAAGTCGATGCAGAATTATTTCCTGCGAGGACGGAGAATTTCGGGGGGCACGAATCCTCGCGCACACCTGCGGACGCGTGTACCACCGTTGGCGAATGCACCGTTCGAGTGACCCAGCACGCGATACCACCAGCACGAGCGCCGATCGCCGACTGACGAGGCGTCGAGCGCGATCGAGACCGGAGGCGCTCAGATTCGTGCGTCGAGTTCCGATCCTCGGGCCGCTGCCGTCGCCGCCGTGGTTCCACGCTTACTTTTCACGGCCGTTCTGCCGTGATTGCACGCGTGCACGACGATCACGGGATCTCTCGATCCTCGCCGAAAATACCTGACTCGGAACGTCCATCTCGCCGATTAATTTGTCGCGACCCGCCGTAAAAGGGGGCCCCGGATAGCTGGTTATGTAATCCAGTTCGAGGGCCCCTTTTCCGCGAACGTGTCCCTGGGAACGCGATTTCCCGAGCTAATCTTCGATATCGCCATTACCGTTCTCTGCTTAAGGTAATATCGTACGGTAGTTGACACCGAAGACACAATTTCGAAATTTTTAGTGAAAATTTCACGAATCTTTTTTAACAATCTTATTTTATCTTTTCATCCAATATCTGATGTTGAAAACGTAGATTTAGATATGTATAAAAGTTAGGTTAGGATATGAGGTGTGAATAAATAGTTTATAAGACCTAGATTCCGAGAACGAATGTTTTATAAACGTTGGATAAGAATTGGGGGGTTAGATGAACTGTATCACGTACCCTCTTGACACCCTCTCACGAGGCGGACAGTAGCACTAGAGATGTAGTTATAGATATACCATGTTTGAATAGTAAAAGAATTTAAGAGAGAATATGTACATCGTTATTTTACAATTGTAAATCCATAATCCCAATACCTGGTTCGATTAATTTCACTTTCTGGAAATGACACAATTGGTTTGTCAGACGCGACACTTTCTCACGAGTCGCTCTTGAGATACAGTCATAGATATACCATAGATATACCATTTAAATAGTAAAAGAATTGAAGAGAAAATATAAACATCGTTATTTTACAATTATAAACTCATAATCCCAATACCTGAAACGTATTTCACTTTCTGGAAATGTCAAAATTGGTTTGTCAGGCGAGACACTGTCTCAGGAGTCGCTCTTGAGATGCAGTCATACATATACATACCATCTTTAAATAGTAAAAGAATTTAAGAAAGAATATATACATCGTTATTTTACAATTAATTCCACTTTCTGGAAATGACAAAATTGTTGTGTCAGACGCGACACTTTCTCACGAGTCGCTCTTGAGATACAGTCATAGATATACCATCTTTAAATATTAAAAGAATTCAAGAGAAAATATAAACATCGTTATTTTACAATTATAAACTCATAATCCCAATACCTGAAGCGTATTCCACTTTCTGGAAATGTCAAAATTGGTTTGTCAGACGCGACACTGTCTCAGGAGTCGCTCTTGAGATGCAGTCATAGATATACCATCTTTAAATATTAAAAGAATTCAAGAGAAAATATAAACATCGTTATTTTACAATTATAAACCCATAATCCCAATACCTGAAACGTATTCCACTTTCTGAACTTTTTTAAATCCTAGTTTCATAGATTTAAAATTGGTCTGTCAGACGTGATGATAGATATTTGACCTCGCGTTGTCCTCGAAGATTAAAAAGTATGACCTTCAAGATGCTCTTCAAGGTAATCGCAATATCAAATAAAGTCACCGCGATAAGTCTCCCCTTTTATAGTATTTCCTTCCCGCTTATATTTTCTTAAATATTTACACGTACACAGATAAACCTGCCACGTTCCATAATCGCGTTGCTATTCGAAAAAAAGTCAGGGTTAATTTCGCGGATAGAACGTTCTCATCGATCGAGAGGATAAAATGTCTGAAAATTAGTCGTCTCGACCAGTCTGACAGTTCTAACGTCAACCGAAGACAGTTCCTCGGTTATTCCTCCGGTTAAATATTTGCTCGGAATGTTTGATATCAAATACTGGCGAAGGTACCAAAGGCGAAATTACGTATGTGCTTCGGGGCAAGGACTGCTCGCAACGGAAGTCTTATTAATGGAACGCGAGCTGTTTTCGATCAGCGAATGTCGAAACCGATAGTACTCCCTGGATTATTTCAAAGCGGAGGTTATCTCGTACCTCCCGATACATCTTCTCCTTAAATAGTTCCCTACATCATCCTTCAACCCTTTGCACTACAAATTATTTCTCAATTTTCTTGCCAATAACTCCCTACTATCTTCTTTGTCGATAAATAAAGAATCAAATATCGTCTAGCGTAATTCGACGTACGATTTCCTGTGATAAAAACTGATGTCGAGTCACATTCGACAAAAGAGTGCAGGGAATTAATCTATCACAGTGCTTTCAGACTGCAGTAGACCCGGGAAATGGCCGACGAAAGGCATTACCTAGGAAATATTCGAGAAAAATCGAGTAATCCAACTTTGATATTGCCTTTGTCGAAAGTAAATGAGGGTTTCCAACGATTCCCCCGAAAATAAAGAGTTTGAACCCAGTGGAGTTTGATTAAAAAGGTGTCACCGGTGTCTCGACCCTGAAGGGACATGTCTGCACGCGAAGGCCAGGAGGGACTGATACGATCGACATCGACGTGCCTGTGGTGTATCATTATCAATTAATTAACGGTGCGTCGAGAAACTTGGTAATTTTAGTCTACTCTCATTCGCGTTTCCCGGTATTGTGCACGGTGTGGAGTCACGTACGGGTGCAGAGAATCCTGCAGTCAAGGCTAGTGTTGTTAGGTCGAGGACCAACGAACACGAAGAGCTTGCACAAACGTCTGTTTACCCTTACTCGTGGAGGAACAAGCAGAAGCTTGTACGAGCCTCTCCTGGCAGTTGGTATGCAGAAATAACGCTCAGATGATGAACCTTCTAATCTAATTGGCTCGTTAAATTGGCAACTAAATTCCGGGCCAGCGTCAGTGACGGAGCTGATTTTTCCGGTCGCTCGAGCTTCGTTTCGGAGGAGAAACAGTGGAGAGTAAGGATGAAAACGAGATGGAAATTATTGACCGTATCGCGTGTACAATAGGAGCACGTTTTATCTCGAAATCAATTACGAGAGCGTGTTATTATGTTACCAGATCTATACGCACCGAGAGGGAATTCTACACCGGCCAGGTCTTATCTGCTTTCAGATAGTACCGGTATGCGTTACAGGCATGTGCAGATGCTGATGCTGACAGTGAATACCTTGGAATCAAAGACTGCATTTACGCAACTGCGTTTGGAAGCATACATCCGAAAGAAGCGAACGAGAGGATAATCGTGATCGCGAGTCTTTCGGGTATTCCTATTCGGAATGCAGTTCCCGATGACATAGAACGGTTCGGTGATTACAGACCCCTCGAGGACTGTGTATCTATCGACTGTTGAATTTAATGGACAGGTAATAAAAGGAAATACTCGACAGTCTGGCGATAGAGCGCATTTTGATTACAGGTCGACACACGGCTCGAGATAGCCGATTATACCCGCCGAACACCTGTATACGTTTGCCGCACGCGCCACATGTGTACGCGTATTTATAGGGTGACACATAAATACGGGACCGCGATGCGGCAAAGGTGCGCCGCTGCGTGACTGCGCATCGAGATGGACTCGGCCGGCGAGGCGCATGCGCGGCGCCGGAGAGTGGGAGTAGCCCACGTGTCAGTATCGCCACGTCCGCGGGGCTTGAAGCATCCTGTAGGCCGTATCGGAGACACATCCGGTAAGATTTTTGCACGGGATTGACGAGAAACATACAGAGTAGAAAAAGAAAACGTAGAATCGAAATATGAAATTTTGCGTGAAGAAAAAAGCCGACGTGCATGCGCTGATCCGACGAGCAGAAAAAAGGAGGGAAAAACGAAATGACGCGCGTGGAAAGATCCAGTAGGGCGTGATCGATCAGCGCGCGAATCAGGAATGCGTGACGGCTGGTATCGTGCAACGAATCGGAGAAACGAGAAACGAGAGGGAAAAATAAGACGGCAACGCGCGATGCGCGTCGAGTGTCAATACCTGCGTGACTGAGTCACGTAGCGGCTTTTTAAGCCTGCTTTCTTGCCTCGTCTACGTTCGTTATCGAAAAGCCGCGGTTCAGACGTCGGGCCCTTTTTCCGCCGCAATTGAGATCCTTGCTCGATACGTTATCACGCGTGCCTCTGCGACGACGAAAATTTCTACTTAATAACGGTCCCGTTATCTCCACGCTCTCGTACACCTTCGACAGGTTAGGCGCACGCGAACGTCGTGCCAGACGTCGGTCCGTTTAAGTCACCGGAGGTGTCCGGTCACCGCCATCCTTCCTGCGCTCCCATTTTGTCACACACGACTTGTTTCCACGATAAGATAATTAAGTAACGAGCAGGAGCCTTGCGTGACACTTTTTCTTTCTCTATTTCGCGAATTCGATACGCGTTAGCAGAGACACGTGAGAGGATCGCGACAGATGGGCGAATCGCGGGGATACAAACAGCAGTCGTTTCGACATATTTTATCCGAGTATCCTTGGTACGATTGTCTCGCGAATTACACTCGTTTATTTGTATTCGTGTGACATGTCTTGGCAACGATGTGTCGAGTGATATGCCTCGTCGTTCCATACGTTTTACGTATCGAAACGTGAAAATATCAGGAAAAGAACTGTTATGGACAATAATTATTGGGATTTTACAATCATAATCCCATAATCCCAATAATTATTGTCCATAAGAGTTTTTTATAATCGTTTTCATTTTATAATAATTTAAAAAAAATGAAAATTACTACCTTGATAATAATAATATATTAAGAAAAATCAATTAGTATTTAATAATTTTGTTTATTTAATTTAATTTTTATAGTCTGTTAATTAAGATTTTATTCATGTATATTTATTTATATGATTTTGTAATATACAAAATTTATTTATGATTTTTTAATATAAAAATCATATAATAAACTTATAAAAAACGAGGACACGTGAAAATGTCAGAGAAAAGATCTATTATGGACAATAATTATTGGGATTTTACAATTATAATCCCATAATCCCAATAATTATTGTCCATAATACTTCTTTTCTCTGACATTTTCACGTGTCCTCGTTTTTTATAA